TTTTATATTGATTTGTTCTTTAATTTTATTGGTGATTGGAGACCAGTTAGGGGAAATGTGCTGAAGATGCAAAACCCCTGATAACCAGTTGTATACAAGTTTCGAGCAAATTGCCAGCAAATAATGACAAAAGTTGTCTAAAAAACCATAGCTATTTTGTTTTGTAGGCAACGCGAGCCAATTTGTTGCCTATCTTGCTGCTAATGTGCGCGCAAGTTGTTTATAAGCAAATCTTGCATCAAACTTGTAACTATAACCTTATAATAGGCAGTAGACAAAATTTGACTTTGCAGGTTTGGCTGACAGGGACTATCATGGAATTACCGTGAGAACCCAGACCTAACCTCAAACCATCTTATTTTTATCAGATTCAGATTTAACGTTAAGGGAAGATTGGAGGCTTAACGTTAGGGGACGTGGACTGAAGGTGCAAGACTATTATGGAATAACTGTGATAACCTAACATCAAACCATCTTATTTTTATCAGATGCAGTGCACTACTAACAGTATTAATTTTTCTTGTCAGTTTCTATGTCGACTGCTATGTCACTCATATGTAAATGACCGATCGGTCTAAAGCTAAAAACTGATATTCACGATAAGATGTTAAATTTAAAGACGTGAAGATGTTAACATGGTGAATGGTTTCCAGAAACTTGTCTGGGAGTTTTGTACAGCTATGTTGTCTACAAAAAGAAAGAAGATAGGAAAAAAGAAATAGTATTGGTACGGTTACAATATAGTGCACAGAACAAGTGTACAGGCAAAATTCACCGTGGGTATGACCGTTATTATTATACCCAAATCTGAGTAGGACATAACCAAGCACATACATTAGCATCGCCTCTAAAACAACACAATTAATTCAGATCTCAGAAAAATCATGTAACTTAAAAGATGACCGAATATACAGAATGCCGCCGAAAGAATGGTACAAACGACAGAAAATGACCCTTTATGTAAAAATAAATCAAAAAGTTCATGTAAGACGTACGCATTCATAGGGAAAATAAGTAGAAACAGAATGTAATGGCCAGACGTTGTAGCCAAGTCCCTATTCATTTGCTCGTGTATCCAGTAGATCTTCAAAATTAGATTATCTCGGAAGCGAAGCCTCGAATAAAAAACTTTTATTCTACATTTTCGATTCATTGTTTCACAAGGAACCACCTGCTGCCCGCTGGTACCAACTTTTTTCCCGCACTCTGTATAAATTCCACTAATTATAAAGCTAACTGTCATACAGAAGACAGAATTCCACCCAAACAGTTTCATTTTCCTCCCAAAGGTGATCACTCGTATTGTCGGAGTTGCTCTATCGAGTTGCCTTTAGGATCGTTGACTGAAAGGGACCTTCAACGCGGCAGATCGATCTTCGACGGTTCCTCTTTGTTTAATAGAAAAACGTCGGCGCAGATTAACGCCGGGGCTCTCGACCGCGGAGGCTGCACCGTTGGAAAATCGTGGAAACGGAGAGAAACGGCTCGCGGAGGCGTACACAGGAATGGGTATTGGACAAACCAACGGCGAAATGAAAGGAACTTTCAATCCATCAAAATTCTGAGGGATGAAAACTATCGATCTCCTACGAGCGATGCCCGGTTCACGAGCTTCGTTCCAGCATGAGGCCGATTGTCGATCAAATTCCGCGGGACACGCAATAAGTCGACATATTAAAAAAGTTTCTTGCCCCCGTCAGATAAAGTGAACACGGTTCAACGATAAACGGCCCACCTCGTATTTTGCGCCCAACGAAAATTCGAGAAGTTTCGTGGCCCGACCAGGATTTGAAAAAGAGATCCGATGGAATCCGGAAATACTCAGCGACTCCAGAAGAAAAATTTATCGCGGCGAAATTGAATTTTCCTACATTACGCTCTGTACTTTTCGAAAAGTTAACCCTTCGGCTTAATTAAATTTATTAGAAATTTAGCGGATTTTATTGACTTCAGTATCAGTTACTCGTTAGTGTCAGGGAACAATAATATTCGTCGTCGAAGCCAGAAAATATTGCACAGGGAAGTGCCGCATAGAATTCGATGGGCCACCTTTTCGGGACTATTGGACTGAACTATATGTATTAACTATCGTAGAACTATTTATAGGAAGAGCTTAATTTCTTGTTTTCGATGTATAAAGCTAACTGGTGGACGTAATTGTCCACTTAGAACTTCAACCTGATCGTTAGAACTCTTCTGTCTTGTACTACATAACAAGGGAACATACCGAACGACGCTGATTTTAATGAAACTTGTATGGAAGATAGTCCTACAAAAACTATTCGATACGTGTTTTTTATTCTTGGTCATCGTCCACACGAAGGGCATGATGACAGTCCCCAAATTGGAGGGATGAAAATATATTTTTTGGAATATCTCGGAAACTAAAGGGAGTAGTAAAAACTTTTGTTTTAAAATTGCTTTTGAGTGGGGAATATAGTCACACCACAAAATCTCAGGAAAAATTATTTGTTTAAACAATATATTAAAAATTTGAAATGTTTGTTTAATTTTCATATGTGACTAAATGCCCCATTCAAAAACACACAATTTTAAAATAAGAAACTTTTTGCTACTCTCTCTAGTTTCCGAGATATTCCAAAAAATATATTTTTATCCCTCAACTTTAGGGTCTGTTGTCACCCCCTTAACATGGACGATAACCAATAATAAAAAAACACGTGTCAAATATTTTTTGGAGAACTATCTCCCGCATAAGTTTCATTAAAATCAGCGTATGCGTATTCGGCATGTTACTTTATAAGGAGAGCGTCCTAGCTAACGGTGCTAAATTATCTATCTGAGTCTAACTGTAGAAGTCCAACTGTTCTATTATACTCTGCTAGTAAAAATTCTACTTGAGAGGCGTGCTCTTCCACTGTTTCACAAGATAGTTCCATTTCATTTCATTCTTAAATTTAACTAGGTTATCGATCCAGCCCGTGTATCAGCTGAGAATCGGATGTTCGAGTAGTATAACCCATCACGCCAGACGTACACTACCAGCCAAAAGTATGACCAGAGTTCATGATTGATGGACTAGTAATTCATTATACTGTTACGATATAATAAACGTTATGGAATCTGTATACATACAAATCATTTCCAATTAATTTTAACATAATACTTTCATCAAATCTTTGTAGAATAATATTTGTCTCTTTCTTCAATTGAGCCGTTCACAAGCCAAAGTGGCTAACTCCGTTTTTTTAATTTTTTCCAATTTCAGTACCAGGCCACGCGATTGGTGTTTGACTTTCTATATTTAAAATAAATTTTATATATACTTTTTTTGGACGTAATCACTCAGTCAAATGTGCAGCTCAATTATCAAAGCTGGTCTCATACTTTTGGCCGGTAGTGTATTTTCAACAATTAAAAAGTCGAAAACGATGTCTCGAACGCAACTTCGTCTTAGTTTGCCATGTAGAATACACCGTCTGAAAGTGTCTCACATTTTCATTAATGCCTTGTATTTTGAAAATTTCAATTGTAACTTTATTTTACGAAGCAATATCCCAGTAAAGGTTTCTCAAACGGTACACAAGTATTAAGATATACTGTTTTAACAAATATAAACTGGTTCAAATCATACCAGATAATATACTATTTTTTCCATCTCTGCGGAATGTCCACACAATCCACGAATTCGTGGACACAGTCAACTAGGATAAAAGAGAAACAGAACAAAGCTAACAAGGAGATCTATTTCGGTCCACGATGTCTCTTGCCTTCTGTTTCATAATTCCCGTTGATATCCGAAAGCCAGTGGGTTTCTCGATAAAACTGCGTCGCCATCAAAGCGAGTCAAGTAACGATTTAGCAAAGATACTACGAATCTCTTTCTAGAGCTGTTTGGTTGTCTGGGCAAATGCATTGTTCCACTTACGACAATTACCGAACGATTACGGACGTTATGAACTGTGTCCTGTAACGTTTGGACATATTTGAAACCGGAATAACTGTTTTAAACACACTTAGGATAGCCACGGGTGTGTCTTTAAAGTAAATGTGCACCAACTAACAAGAATAAAGTATCCTAAATCGCGTCGTCTTTGGTATTATTTTAATCAGAAAAATCTCACCAATATGTTTATAAAAGTTTCATTAACAAAGAACCACAAATAAAAAAGTTTTATCGTTGCATTAGGATTGTCTCACCGACACTCGGGAATGTAACATTTTTGTGGGCTCCCAACGTTCAGTCGTCCGCTCGTGAATGGGAAGCCGTCTCGGCGCGCTGCGGCGACAAAGTATGCGGTTGCCGAGTTCCACGGCCTCCCCCGCCCCAGTGGTGGGGATGACGCCTGGACAATAATCGAATCGCATATCAACAAAGAGTCAATAATCGCGAGGAGTCAGTAAGGTGAAACAAAAATATTCGAAACTAGAGAAGGATATACAGGGTGTCCGATTTGAACTTTTAGACACAACTATCTATCGAACTACTCGAAAACAATGTTTCAAGTAGTATTTACTTTATTTTGAGGGGGAGATCAGTGATAATCACAAATCTTATCTGGATGGACGTGCCTCCGAGATTTCAAGGTAACCCATTTGTTTTTTTTAAATGGACCTGCATATTTTCATTTAGGTAAACGTATAGCCTATTCCGTGACGAAGTCATTGATCTATAATATGTTGATCTGTCAACACCATTCGGTGTCATTTATCGACGTTCAAAATTTACCTTCGTTCAACGTCCCGAAGAGTCCTTTTACCGGAGTATTTCGTCGATTCGATCATAAAAATCGTTACTTATGTAGTACTTGTGTAAGTTTTTAATAACCTAAATTACCTTGGAAGACGAACATATCATAAATACATAAAAATAGGAAAATACATATGAACTTTAAGCCTTAAAATTTAAGGGGTGGTTTCATTCTGAAGAACCGAATATGAGAAAAACGAAAAATTCCCCGATGGTTCTATTGAGGTTCCCTACAACTGAACTTGAGGTACCGAAGTTTCCTTGTTAGAGATTTTCTAATGGTACTCACCTGAACAGGAGGAATCCGAGGCCGGTGACCGCTGCCCGTCTGACATCATCGTTCACATCGGAAACCTAGCCAAGGAAACGCATTTACATCATTAAAAAGATAAAGGGCCATCTGATTGCGAGTCAGGTTTGTTCATTGACCACGAAATAATCTTATCGACTCATTAGACCCATCGAAGCTTGTTTATCAGGCGATTCCATAAGTACAATCGTGTCCATACGATGGTACCTATGTGTAACTGTTTTCTCATGGACAAATATTTGTTGCAGTACTTTTTCCGTGATTTTTTTACATGTTTTAATGGAATTTAGTCATTTCTTGCCTGTTCAATAGATGTCGACATTCCGAAATGTGAGAACACTTCAAACGCCATTTTTGCGAGATCTGTATTTACGGACAATGTCTATATTTTTTTACGACGTGTTTGACAAGTTTTCACGATTACCCTTTATATTATCGAAGCTTGCTACATAAAATGGACCGTAATTTCTAAATCTATATAACAACGCATTAATATTAATTCGTTAAAGCGATTTCAATGCTTGTTAAGCCTGGCACGCAATTCGGAAGGCTTTTTCATACATTGTTTTGTAACTCCTTGTACCTGCACTATACTAATACCGAAAAAGATGTATATAGTAGATATTCCCATTACTAATACACTAATTAGCCGGCAGATTTTATTTGTCTGTGAAATGATTAAAATTAAAAACTTCAGCTATGCCGGATCCATTTTGTATTTTATTGCAGAGATTATTCATTAAAGAAGTAATCTTGTCGTTTTACATTCGCAATCTAACACGTAATAATGCTTCAACAAGTACGACAGGTGTATATTGTTCTTTAAGAGTTCATTAGTGACTATTACTTTGTCGTATTAAACTCGACCGTCTATCTTTTTTCTTTTGTTTTCATTTCTTCGGTGTGCAATCTATTTTTATTTCTATTACGGATTTATCGAACTCTCGGCAAGCAATTTTCATCATCACTGTTTTATCTGCGGATCGATTTCTTAACAATTTAATCCCACATAAATCCGATAACGCCTCACCATCTACGACATCGATTTCAATCCAAGGTCACGAGTGTAAACGACCACTGAAGCGGAAACATTAACCGTTACCGTGAACAAACAGACGGAATGTCTGTTTTCTTAGGGGGATTTGAGGCCGGGGTTATGACGTTCGAACTTAGCATGGAGGGGGCTCTGAACTCATTGCCATTTTACTCCCCTACAGCCCTAACTATGGCAATATAGTTAGAGTCCATTGTACTGCTACGAACGAAAGAGTGATGTCATGTCCCCAACACAAATATACCCCCTGTACTACTCCCTACTTCGTCACCTTATCCCAACGTGGCCATTTTTATACTACTTCTGGCAACGCTGCCAAGTGTATATCCAACATAAGATAATCACGACAGATACTTACAGCAACGTGCAGCAGCTTCCGGATTGCCTGATTGTTTCCAGTGCCGCAATAGGCCATCGCAAGGGTGTACATGCCGCTCCTTCGAAGTATCGGATCCTTATCGGCGCAGAGGGAGGTCAGCAACGGGTCGGCTTCCTCGAGTCGACCGTACATGGTGAACGCAATCCCGACCGCCAATCCTCGGAGGATCTTCTCGTGTTGGGTTTCTTGGGCGTACTAAAGCAAAGGGTGGAAGAAAAAATATAGCGAAAGACGTGTAATAAGAGAGGAGATATAAAAGTTTACGGGAATCGGAGACACGACGGTATATTTACTTTCCGCCAGAAAAATTTTATTAAACGAAGTAACCAGGAAAAAGGTATTGTTGCCGTGGTGCATAAAAACGAATTTCGCTGTTACCACGGGCGGAAAATAAAGGGTATCTTGTTGGAAGGACAAGAAACCGAGATCCAGCAAAGACATGATTGTCGTTTTTAGTAATTGAACCCTTGAAAGTATGTAGAAGTTAATGGTGTAAATCGATAAATATGCTCTTGAAATGATTAGAGGTTTAAAAAGAAACTCTTGTAAATCCTCCTGAATTGATATATACATATAACCTTATAACCTAAATAATAAGGAATGAAAAAGAAGTCAATCTTCTGTAATCAAGAAAGGAAGATATGATAAGGTAATCCATTGTTTCCATATGAAACAATACCTCTCGAAGCGAGGAAGTCACTCGCTTTAACCGAAAGAAACAATTGTTTATAACTTTGAAAATATTAATTTTTCGATTAATATTTATTAGGACATTTTTCATCATTTGGCGAGTACTATCTACCCTAAAAGTTATGAACCCTTTTTTTCATCACCCTGTATACTAATATGCGTCTAGTTGGATATACTGATTATACTCCGAATGATTATTATGTGTATGATGACGTCAGAATTCAATATATCGATACAATTATTGTCAATATAACAATTCAATGGATAAATACCAACTAATATTGGGATGGTATGGTCAACATCCTCTGTTGAGTTACTAGTAAACCTAGACATACTCCATGGATGCACAAGATAGAATGAGGATAGGGCTACCTTTTTATGACATTAACGAAAATTCATCAAAAACTGACTTACACCATTATTGCTTTCAAAGGTTCAATTAAAATAAATAATGGGCTATGTGCAAAATATATGAATATTTTATGCTTATGTGAACAATTGTTAAAGAAACGTTAGATCTGTATATAAAGACACTTAGAATTGATACAAGTAAAACTTAATGAATAAAGATAGAAACAGATGAAATACCAACATACACTAAACGCAAAATAATACCTAATGTTGTGTTTCAACTTTTCTGAACGTTTATAACTTTTCAGTAAAGCATTTTCGGACATAAGTTTATATAAACTTCTTTTACCTACTCGACCTCATTAACACAGTATAAGTTTGACCATCTATTTGGATACCCTGTGTAATGCAATATCTCCACAGATAAATTTGAACCTACACAGCTTTCGAACTCATCACCCACATTCTACTAATATTTATTATCACGTGACTACTCGCAAAAATTTCTAAAAATTTCCTGAAAACCCAGCTCTCTATCAGCAACTCTGTTACACTTTCGAGAAGTAAAATAACTTCTTACTATATTACTATTACCACTATATCATCCTTTCTTTTTTACCTGCATATTTTCATTCATTGTCATTTCTCTGTATGTTGTAGTTGCAATAAAATTGTATCGTTATTATTTTACTCCGTCGAAAATAACTCAGGGTAGGAACGAACGAGATAATAAAGTCGTCCAGCAGAATGGTGTGTCCGACGACTCGTTCGCGATAGATACTCGCCGAGGAACGAAATCCACCTGCGTCTCTGGACAGGTGAGAACAGTCCCTGACAAAGCGAGGCAGTTTGTCCTGTACCTATTTTTCCGGCGGCAGTAAGTGGATTTCGTTGTTTCTCGGGGGGTAATCGTCTCGGGAAGAAATACAGGGACCGTGGGGGACCGTTATTTCCCGGACTAGCCCGGAATTTCGCAAATAAATGGACAAAGATTATGCGCGTCGCTCGCCATCCGCGAGATATTACACGCTATAGTGAAAAATTAGGGCATTCAGTGATGTTCTTCGTCTTTCTTACCCTCCGCTATGCCAACAACAATACTTCATTCCAGTTTGGAATAATGAACACCTATAAGGACAATTTTTATCTTGCCCCACCTTGATTATCATTCATATTTTTAAAAAAAATTACTTCTTACGACTAGACTGCAAGAAATATTAGAAGTCAAGGAGTAAGAAACTTTATCACTATTTTACTGTCTTTCCTTTAAGATACAGATGCTCCGATATATTTTCTTTTAAAATTGATGCAAGATTCAGTTATTTAACCCTCGTGCATTGCTCGGGTCAATTTGATCCTAAAACAAAATTCGAGTTCGTTTCGAAAAAATCGGTGAATTCATTTGACATCGTTAGTTAATATATGTATATTTTAATCCAGCGATTGGTAAACGAACTTTCTCCGTTCCACTTCGAGTTTGGTTCGATTTAATTTAACCCTTTAACTATGGAATGTTGTTTTAGAAACGTCTATCTGTGTACGTAATTAATTTGATTGTTTTATTCTAATAAAAGAAATATATTCAATTTTTACTAAAATTTTTATAGCGAAAGGTATTTTATTTTTCCACACGAGTATACACGTCATTACCCAAAAAATGGTCATTTCTGCAATTATTATTATTGTATGTGCAATATTTATGTATGCATTATTTCCCGAATAACAATACTTTCTTTACATTCGACTATCACTGACTTTGTTACAAAGGATATTTTTAGTTGCGTAACCTGAGTTCAATGGATACAAAATACAGCAAATTTCAGGTGAAACTTTATTGGTCGCCTGTGTGTTAATAATCTGAACAGCAAACAGGGGTTGAATTTAGCGATTCAACACTAAAGCAAAATGTCTCGTGAACAGTACGCAACGTATTGAGGTGCAAGAAATTAAAAGGAAAATACAAAACTTTATTAGATCATCATTGAGACAATTTATTCTGTTGCATTCTACACACTCGTAGGATATTTCCCATCCAAAAGCCCATTATTAGGCTCCTTGGCGATGCCAATTGAGACAGTTTATTATCCTTTAAATTAAAATTAAAACAAATTCTACTGTTACATTACACGGGCAGGTTTATTGATTCACGATCGCGATTTACCACTGGAAATAAAAAACTATTTTAATAGATTTCTGGGTATCAATCATTGGTCCTAAAAAGCTTATTATAAAAAGCATATGTGACGCTCCAATTTCTAAGTCAGCATACTTTATTTGATAAAATGAGATTGTGATTTGCAATATTCACTTAGATTTTTATGTTATCTCTGTTTTATATCTTCTTAATATCTAATCGAGACAGTAAGAACATGCCACTGTAGAGAATAATAAAAACCTACTTAGAAGTGTCCGGGATCAATATTTTCGAACCAAAATGGTGGTAGCGAATGTGTTAATTATTACCAGCAGATAAACATCAATAGTTTGCGGCAGATAAATATCAATAGTTCCATTAATTACTGTATAACCATAAAAGAATACACTGCAATCCTCAAGACAAAACATGTGTATCGTGTAGCAGGTTCGACAAATGTCTCTCAGAATCTCCTAATCTATCTATCGTTAAATCGTGCACGATAAACAAGATAACAACTATCATAATTTTCTCTTAGAGCGGCTGAAAAATAATTGAAGGATTAAGCCTGCGAATAATCACTTTTTTTCAACATGTTTGAGAAGAAGTAGAATTTTTCTAGTTACTTGCAACATATCGTTAAGAAAACAGTACATCGCAAATTCTTGCGATTGCACGCTCGTAGTTGCAAAACATGGAATCACGAATCGACGTTGGCTCGTGACGAAACACGAATCGTGACAGAAACAAAACAAAAAAAAAAGAGCGATTCCATTCAATATAATCGAGAATCCTCATGCAGGCATGGATTCCATCGGCAATATTCGCCAATCTGACGCGCGAATGTTACCCCGAATTATATAAGCCGTTTTATTTGCTCGAATTAATATTTGTTCGATCGCGAAAAATGTTACGTAAAAAACGTTGCTCGAATGGTGATTTTCTGACTGAAAGCACAGTTCCACGCGATAATAAAGTTAATGTAAATCGAATAACGCGTTACCGCCTTGGAGAAATGAATATAAACGAACCTGTAACGTGGTTGAGATTACAGTTCTTGCGGAAAAATCGAGAACTCTTGTGGCAAAGGAGGATTTTTAAAACGGTAAATATTTCATTTTGTTCGAATCGATGAATATCGTCCAATTAATTGAATTTCTTCCGAATATTTATTAACTTATTTTCGCATCGATATCTGAATTTTTAATTTAAGTTATTCTATAAATATTAATTCTTTTAAATTGTATTATGACTTATTCTGTAAATATTATCGTATTCTTTGAAATTCGCATTCGAAAATTCCATAATTTAATTTAGCATCCAGATATAACATATAGATATAAACTATATTATTGCTAACACGCTCACACCACTTCCTTTGTTTCCGTATTTTCAATAAATTTTCCGTTCAATGAAAATACATTTTCGTGATTCATTATGAATAAATCATTTCGTGAATATTATCGCACTGTTTAAAACTGACTTATAGGAATTTCATATTTATAATCTGCTTCATTTATTTATATATATGCGTGAAATTAATTCTTAATCCTCCATTATACAGGATATCCACAATATATTAAAATAAATTATTCATAGACATACATATTTGCATTCCTAATTTCTCATGAATAACTGACCCAACATATAACAAACAATCGGAAAATCGATAATAAAAAGTTCCTTGGAAATAATTCAAAACCTGCGAAGATTTCGCAACGAACACGGATCGGTAGCTCGAAGCCACGTTACATCACTAAAAATTAATAATTGATCCCACATTGTGAGTTGGTGGTCGTCAATCGTGTATCAGTCACTTATCAACGGTGTAAGTGCTTGAGTGGATCCCCATTGTTTCCATAAAACCTATAAAAGAAGTGACGCCGCGTGAACGCGAGCTAAGACCTGTGAATCTGTGACACCGATTGATCTCCAGTGAAAAACAGCAATAATGGTGGCTCCGGCGTCGTTGGCGTTGTGTGGGTATAAAAAATATTAACTCGAGGAAGAATTTCGACAGGACTACGTTCTAACGAGCTTTGTTCACAGTGTATCCCACCCTGCTCACCGCGATGATGCAGGCCAATTACACCGTTTTTCCGGACGAGGATGGTGTGGCATATTTAATTAAACTCGACGACAAACCACTGACTTTGGAAGAAATTAGTACTTTGTCTGATGACGTGAACTCTGTCACTTTCACGCTGTTCACACGGTTAGAATGATATTTGAACTATATTAATTCGAATCTTACGGGAATTACTTACATTAAGCCTTTAACGGTGGAATTTTGTTTCAGAAATGTGTAACCATTTGATCCTTTTGTTCTAATAGAAAAAATATATTTTTCAATTCGGACTAAAATTTCAATTTTTATAGAAAAAATATTATATTTTTTCAGGTGACGAGTACACTCGTCAGTGTCCAAAGAATGGTCATTTCCTAGTGACGAGTATACTCGTCGAACACCATTAAAGGGTTAAGCCGAATCTACACTATATGTATAACAGAACATTGTCATACAGCAATTTTTTTAACTTTGTTGTACAACGTATTTGTCTTACTTGTTATTGGATTATTACTTTTATATTTTAACAAATTTGTTTAAAATTTTTTTTTCGAACTTTCTTTGATCTTTATCGATGCTCAATAGATGTAGCTTGCTGTATGTCACGAAAAATATTATTTATAACGTTTCAAAGGAAAAATGTTACTTATAACATTTTTCTTTCTTTTTTCCAACAAGTTTTATAACTTTGCGATAGAACAATGTTTTGTTATGTAGTGTGAACTCGGCTTTATTGCATATTATGCGCAATTTATTACTTTGAATCTATAACAATTGTAATCACGGTTAAAGCTTACGCTAAAACGTAGACTAGAACTTTCGTTGAAACATTTACAGAAGACTTCGATATGGGTCATACATGACCCGGTCTCACCTTTTATGGCTCCATCTTCTCAGGGTCAATGTATGTTTGTAACGAACTACAGTGGGTAAACAAAAATTCGCAGACTCTTTAAAACGAATAAATTCTTTAAAATTAAACCAAGTGCCATGAGTTTTTTTTTGTGAAGTTAGAAGAATTAGTTTACTAAATGAAATGTAAAGAAATTTTTGAAACAGTTGGAATTGATCGGAATCGCAAAGAAAATAGTGAAGGTAGCTTTTTACAATTTCTTTGTGAGACTGTAATGAAGATTTCAAAAATACATTTTGAAGATTTATGTTAGTTATGTATATTCTGAAACTTTTATTGAAATCGGTTGATACAGTAACGATGGACAGGCGTCGAAAGATTTAAAAATTTAAAAATTACTACAATTGTAGGTCAAAAGTCACGAAAAACTGCGATTTTCAACATTTTTAACCGTTTTGTATCTCATAGCAACGTCAACCGATTTCGCTGAAATTTTGAGTATATGTATAAGGAACATAAATCTAAGAAAAGTATTTATTAAATTTTCATTATATATAAAAAAGTTGTAAAGAACAACCTTTACCATTTTCTTCGCGATTCCGATTAATTGTAACATTTTCAAAATTTGTTTGACACATCATTTAATAAACTAAACCTTCTAACTACACAAAAAAAAATTCAAGTCACTTTGTCCAATTTGAAAAAAGTTCCGTTTTAAAGAGTGTGCAATAACTTTTTTTATCCACTGTATATCATCTTTTTGAATGTATAATACTCAAACACAAAGAATAATTAAAGAATATCTTAGACATAATGTTAAAAACAAACTTACTCTACATGATGAAACTATAAAAAGAATTCCTTTGTCTTCTGTGATACACACGACAAGTTTCAAACTTGCAGTAAGACGCCATACGAATGTCAACAACGTGATATTGGAAAACAAATTAAGCCAAAGCTTACCGAGATTACACCTCGGAAGCAAAAGATTTACAAAACGTGCAGAATGATTCACCTAACTTCACGATTTGTACTTACTCGTGAATTATTAGTTCTTGGAAAAAATGTGTGAAGCAAAAGTTAAATGACTTCAAAGGGGTACATAAGATAGAATAATATTTTTTGTTACATTGCTTGCACATAAAGTTTTGAAGGTCATCTCAAATTTTTTTAAATAAAACATCGCATATTTCTACATGGAAATTAAAAGAGCATTAAAAACTAAGTAAAAAAAACAGTAAACCATAATACGTCTAAAGTGGCTATTTATTGAAATATTTAATATATTCATATTTCAATAATAATTTTTATTGTAAAAAAGTGTTCGAACTGTTGACCGTTATTGCTGAAACGAATAAAATTCAAAACCAACAAAATTCAATAAAACACCCTTTACAATAAAACTTTCATTATAAATATTTCAATAAGAAATCAATGTAGACCCTATTATGCTTGCGAGTTTACCAGTAATTTCAAGTCGTCGGGTCAGATGAATCGCCCTGTACGTTAATCCCAATTTTTTCTTATGTCTTGCGTAAAGAATACGCCTACTAAATTTTTAATATTTAGTTTTCTAAATTTCTATCTTCAACGAAATTTCCTTAACAGTTATCAGTAAACAGAACTCAGACATTTGCACAAATTCACATTCTTATAGAATAACTTGCAAAACCAGGAATACCAGTTTACGAATAATTTTTTGTATAGTACCAGGTGACAGCAATTGCCCAATAATTATTTCAAAATCGATTTTAAAAAAAAAAACGAAATTGGCAGAAAATTTTTTTTTTAATAATTAGTTACTATCAGCAACAATTTTCGTTTTAATACAGTGTTCATATCCGTAGCCTGTTAATAATTAAATTCATGATTTCAGACGAAACCCAATAACAGGACAACTCTTAATACCAAACGACATCGCCAGCGTTTCAAAGAGCAACTGGAACGCCAACAGGCCAACGATCATCGTCGCTCATGGCTGGAAGAGTGCTGGTGACAAACCAGCATGCACTCTGGTTCGCGATGGTAATGGAAAATTTTCTTTCGTCGTTAAAAACGCGTGCACTGACTTTTCTCGATAACCAAACGCAATGATTATCTCCCAGCTTTCCTAAGAGCCACGGACTGCAATGTGATCATCGTTGACTGGAGCAGCATAGCCAAAAACTTGATCTACTCGAAGGTCGCGAAGAGCGTGCCAACAGTGGCGGAGGGAGTCGCGAGATTCGTAAATTTCCTACGAGTGAGGTCGGATCTGAGACCGTCCGCTTTGAAAATGATCGGACACTCGCTTGGTGCCCATGTCGCAAGCTTAGCAGCGAAAATTGTGTCGCAGTCCAGCCAAGTGTCGGAAGTTGTAGGTAGGTAAAATGCGCACATAGAATCTTTATAAAAGGATTCTACTAGGAGATGAATATGAGCCTTTAGTATTTGCTAAGGATTCGAGTCATGGCCATTTTTGTATGGGAACAATTTAGGGTTGACAAAACCACTTTATACAGGGTCGCAAAATATGCAACAAAATTGCAATCAGATCCTGTCTTATGGGTAGTTTGAATATCTAATGTATACAGGATGGTCCGTCAATGGTTCTTCATGAAGAAATTAACCGAGAGTCTAGAATACAATTTTTTCACACAAGACTCTATTGTCGAAAAAACAACTTTGGAAATTTATTCCATGCGCATGAATCAAAGTAAGGGTAATCAACCGATTTTCGAATTTTTTGAGGAAAGACAACCTTATTTGCAAACATTTTTTATCTGAGCTATCGCATTCGTTTCTTCCATGAAGAGTCATACTCTTGTACCAACAATAACGATCCACCCTGTATAAAGTGTTCTTATACCATGAGAGCGAAATGATATAGGTCGTGTATTATACCAATGCTGTTCACGGATGAAATCCCTTTGTCTTCCTTCACACGCAGTTTTGCGTTTGACAACATGACAAAGTGGAGGAACTAGCGTAGACAGAGTGGGAGAACAAATGAAGATGAAGCGAGGAAAGATCCCGAAACTTCGAAACTTATTGTGAGCAGTATTGGATTCACCTGGTTCCTGACAGTATAGTTCAACCGGATGTAGATAATGATTAAAGGATGATGATTCAAGAATGAGTCAGTAGAAATAGGAGGAAAAATGAAGACAATAGCAGAGAAACTACCCATTAGTGGCTATCCTCATTCGGTTATTGAAGGATTCCCTCATTATACAAAACATCTTTATGTTTAAACCCTTGGAGTATGGTGCTCGGGTCCGTTTGGACCCGAGTGTTTAAAAGTCATATCTAACTAATCGATTTGTAAATATAATTTAAGCTAGGAATTGTTCATATTTGGTCGTATAAAATGAACAGGTGTTTTTTTAATGATCGCGTTCGAAAGTATGTTTAAGAAAAAGGAGGTTAGGGTTTCATATGGACCTAAAAACCACTGTCTCTACGAACATTAAAAACGTCCATACTCGGAGGGTTAACACCAACGGGTGCTAACGGTCATAAAAACTCTGGTCGAATCAGAATTTCGTAACCAAAGAGAAAGGATTTACATGTAGTAGAGAAAAGCCTATATGTAGAAATATGTTAGAAAAATGTCTATGCGTGAACCTTCTATGCTTCTATCTCCTGTCATTCTTATCTTGACTACCTCCGAAAAAAAGTCCTTATTTGATTTTTTCTTGCGATGACTATAACAATTGGATAGACGTTCAAGCGTTTTCAATTATAGCTCTCGACCCAGCCAAGCCAATGTTCGAAAGCAAAGGGCCCGATGACCGAGTGGATCGTTCCCACGCAAGAAATGTCCAAGTTGTTCACACCTGCGCCGGTTTGTTGGGCATGGACAGTGCTGTTGGAACGTCTGACTTTTATGCCAACGGGGGAAGCAGTCAACCAGGATGTTCTAGTGATTTGCTTGGTAAGAATAACCATTCCGTTTGCAGTTTAAATTTATGAAGACACACTACAAATAAATTCGAGATAGCAGAACTTGTCTTATTAAAATCTCTCTATCATTCCATTATACATTCACTATCTATTTTACGTAGGATTTCCTCCTTTGAATTAGCTTCTTAAAAAACACTACATTAATTTCTTACTTATTACCTGACCGCTATTAATTCAGCAAAAATTTTGTTCTGGCAGTCGATATCCCTTAACAGCTCTAAGTACATGCCAATTGAGAAATTGTATGTTCGATTTGTTTCTAATCGTATAGCATACTAATACGTACAATGGCACCAGAATAAAATGTTTAAAAATTCGTTTCATTCAATAGGTTCCTGCGCACACGGACGCAGCTACGAATATTTCAGCGAATCTGTCACAAATCCTAGAGGCTTCCCAGGAAAGTCAAAGAATGGTGGTGCAATGGCATATATGGGTGGTATCCAACTTGACGGAGGGTAATTTATAATTTACGTTATCGTTACATGGTGTTTTTGCATGTAGTTTATGTACTAGATAATGAGACTTACATGTTTAACTCGTGCTTCTCTCTATCTTGCAGAGCTCGAGGCGCTTATGACTTTAAAACTGCAGGTCAACCACCTTATGCTATTCACTAACAGTATTATTTTCTTTCAGTACGATGTACATACATAATCCTTTTTTACAATAAATTGTTACATATTAAGATCAATCTCTTTAGTCTTGTGATGAATCAATATACCCACTCAATAAAAATACACACATATCAGACCTAACTCGAACTCCTCAATCAAATAAGAAATTAATTATAAATTGAATAACCTATATTATCAGAATTTTTTAATTTTTTATACCTCTATGTTATCATAATTGTGTGTCTTTGGTTAAAATTTAAAGGACGACGATACTCAACCCATGACAACATGTTATCATTAAGTTTGCTCTGAATTATACACAAGATTACATTACAATAAAGTATAGATGATGTACTGTTTGAAGAAGTTATGGTGCAAATTTTTAAGCAATGAAACTAGAAATATGTATTTTTTCGTATTCTACGTGCCCCGTGGAACAGTTATACATGTAACGTTTTCGTTACGTTACAATAAATTATCTCTGTTTCTATCTCAATTTAATAATAATCTTACACATTACAACTACCTAAATCCTGGACAGCGATACCTGGGTCTATTTTGACCCGAGTTTCAAGAGTTTTACCTATCTCTTCAGCAGATGTTTCTACAATTCCTAATAAATAAGATATTTCAAGCAAAAATACACTCCAAAAAGTGCGGACCCACTCATCGTTTGGTGTGCGGTCATCAGAAACATCCGCTTTCAGAGTTTTCAAGAGAAGATATATTTTCGACTTACCGCAACCATGTCCTCTATCGCCTGGGTTGATTTAGATCCTAACATGACCATGCCCATAGCAATACCGGCCGCCTCACCAGTAACAGCATCGTCTTGATACAAATTGAATTTCAGTTGTTCATACACATCCTGCCTGTGCGACCCCATGGCGGCTAGGCCCAATCCTAAACAGCCTCCATGACGAACCATCTGTCCAAAATAAATAGTTGACACTGTAATAGCGTATTGCATTTCTTTCGAACGAAAGGAACAAACAAAGACATCGACTTGCCTCGTTCTGTGCGTCCTTCAGCTGTCCAAGCAAATAATCCGTGATGGCTGCACCATGATTCGCGTGAATAAGTCCTAACGCGTACAAACCACCTCCCTCGGAATAACCAGCACCGGCGCCAGTGTCTCGCGGGAGGTAGGACTGCATTAACGCTAACGCCTCTTGTTCGTGGCCTCTATGAATCACGCCTAATGACGCCGTTGCGGTTAACTTTGCCCAATTCGTAGCCCTAGCCAGCCATTCTAAGTTGTCTCTAAAATAATAAATTACTTACGTTAGTACTCTCACAGACATTTTTGAAGTTTCGGAAGGAACAGTATTTTTATTGTAGGAAAAAAATAATTGATATACATAACCTTACCTCAAAAATTGGTCACTAGTTGTACCAGAATGCATATACGCATTCGCAATTACGGTGGCAGTGTGACAAATGGACACTCTTATAGCATCCTTAGTATTTTTCAATATTAACATATCGGTATGATTACTACGAATTAAGAACTGTAGGTGTAGATCAATAGAAATTTCGCCTCCCAAAATACTCGACAGAGCATCCACGCGCTCCTGTTGTTCGCGTTCTTCTGCATTCTGTATAGCAAAAAAACGAAAATTTACTGCTAGAATGCTACAGGTTATTACTAGTTCAGTCCAAATATAACAAGCAGCGCCATCGCACTGCTATTGCTTCATATTGAAAAATACCGAAAAGCACATCCCGTTGTTTTCTGATACTTTAGATTATTACTCGCGGTTCTTTCAGTTCGTGAGATCAATTGCATTTCACAGTTCACAAACGTTATCTTACTGTGTATTCAGGTTGTAAAACTAACATACCATCAACCGAATCTGTTGGGTCGACACGCGGATACTTTTCGGCAGTGAATAGCAGCAAGGCGATCGCGTTACGTGAAAATTAAACGACTAATAACCAGTTTGTTTACAAGTTATTTCTAACAAATAGTATCACTTACCAAACTTTCAACGCTACGTTGAACTTTATCTTCTGGAACAGGTGCACTGCTTTCAGTTTCCATAGCATTAGAATCTGAACTAACATCGGTAGCTACTTTTACTGCTGGTTTAACAATTGGCTTAACCATAAGAGCTCCTGGAATGGGAGCTGTTGCTCTGAGAGCTTGTAAAACTCGACCAAGGAACTGCTGGGTCGCAGATTCATACAAATCAAATGCAATTTGATAGGCCATAAGAACACAATCTTGTGAACCTTTACTCAGTCTATCTAAGAGTTCGGCAACGGCTAACGGATCGTCAAGAAATATCAGGCACTGACACATGTTGACATAGTCTGGTGTTCCTAAGTTACGGTAAAGGCTCACTAGACAACGTAGTACAGTGTTGCGGAAACCACGATTCTGAATGAGACTCATGACTACTTGGAAAGCATAGGACAACATGCCACTCACATCATCCTAAAATAAAAATAATTATGAGAATAGCACTGAATCACCAATGTTATACTATATAAATCAATTAACATTTCCTTACAGACTGCATAATTGCAGCTTCAAAGACATCCATTCTTCTGGTTTCAAGAGCAAGACCTAATGCTTGCCTGTACTGATTATCGTCCAAACACCGTTGAAACATTCTGTTTACAATTCCTTCTAATCTCGGATCAATACCTTTGCTACCTGGTGGCAGTTTCCCTTCAGCTTCCAAAACACGTTGTTGAGTGTAATAATCGATACATTTAGCTAGAAAAAAATTAAAATTAATATATTTAATGAATCTAAATAAATTAATTTCATTAATAAAAAAGTACTTGGTACTCATACCGATAGTAGTATCCACATATTCAGTATGAGCATTGACATCAAAAAGCTCTCCAGCTCCCAAAGCATAGGTAAGAGAATCTTCAAAACTTCCTAAATGATAATACACTTTACTTGCAACTAATGCAGCTAAGTCATGTTGAGGAAATGCCTTATCTTCATGAAGAATTTCACTAAAACACAAAGAATTTATTGTTAGACACAATGGAAAAATATATAAGCACATGCATCTTTATATTGAAATTGTATACATTTTTTCTATAGCCTCAGATATTTCTGGCCAAAATTCATCCACGATCATGTCCAATTTTTTCAGAGCGAACACTTTTAGCTCTGGCATTGGCTCCTCCAGAAGGGAGATAATACCAGCTGAAAAAGATAAAGATTGTATACTGATTTTATGCGACAAAAACTCTCTTAAATAAAAAGGGAAAATGTATGTTACAAGTGTAACAATTTTAAGGTAAAAATATATAAGAGTACATTCAGATAAACAATTATATTTTGTATTTCGAATACAATCTTAAAGGTTATGGTCCACGAGATTTGCAAATCATTGCATGCACAATATGCAAATACCACATGAAAATATACCGTTAAGTACACCATTAATATAATTTGAGATGTAATTTTGTTATCAAACTCTGAATAAATTACTTACCCGCGGATGTAATATTCATATTGGTTCTCATGGGTTATAAATTCTTTGAGTAAAAACTCCAAAAGACAGTTTGATAGCAAGCTGTGAACACGCCAAACAAATTCAATTGAAGTGTGGCACAAACTTTTATACTGGCAGCCACTATGACAGAAAGGAAATCGTGTACCACTTGACGCTAATTTCCTAATTTCTGGTGAAATTTTAAATATATCTTTCTTTTTAAATGAAAATGCTAAGTAATATTTAATGAGCGAAATATTGTTCTGAAATTAACATGTATAAATATTAAATATTTACTGCTACAAATTTTGGGCTTTAGTAATGGCAGCATTGCAGCGTAAACTTCATGATTTTCTATCTGAATTTGACTTGCAACTTGCAACACTAACCTCCTTGTGATATACGAATAACTGGAACAACTGTGCTTTGAGAGTGTTAAATACAATGGCAAAAGTAGGAGCAGTAAGAGAAATAGTGTAGTCACAACAAAAATGGCAGAAAAAGCAAAAAATATGAGTCATGTAAAACATATTCCGAAAGATGCTCAGGTGATAATGTCTATTATGAAAGATATGGGGATCACTGATTATGAACCAAAGGTTATAAATCAGTTACTCGAATTTACGTATCGTACGTATTATGCATTTGTAATTTATTTAGTGTTATAAGTACAGTATTAAGAATACTGATTCACGGATGTTATACATTTATTTATTACTTTATAATAGTTGGACAAAACAACTCATGAGATAACCTGTTTACAATGCGTAGGTTATGTTACCTGTATATTAGACGACAGTAGAATTTATGCAAATCATGCGAAAAAGAAATTTATTGATTTGGATGATGTTAGGCTGGCAGTTAAAATGCAATTAGAGCGTACATTTACAAATCCACCTCCAAGAGATGTATTGTTAGATGTTGCTCGAGCAAAAAATAATATACCGTTACCATTTGTCAAACCGAGTAATGGCTTGAGGTTACCACCTGATCGATACTGCCTAAATTCAACAAATTATAAATTGAAGACTGCAACAAAGAAAATAGTTGGAAAACCATTGCATTCTTTAGTTGGAAATAACATTCAGGGGGGTCAGTCAAAAATCAAAGTAGAAGGAAACAAAACTGGCCTTTCCATTGTTAAAAGACCCGGTACACTTGCAACAGTTGCTAGAACTCAAACAATTTCAATACCAAAGCCTGTTTTAAAATTTTCCACAGGTAAGTTAAGTGCATAATCATAATTGCTTAAACAAATGAATCATTAAACCTTTATCCATCATAGATCCCTATCGAATCCTGCATTCCCAAACGTCCGTTCCTTCTATTCATATTTCATTGAGAACCCAAATGCGTAAGACACAAACTATTCTAACAACAGTAATAAAACTTTACATGGCTGGAATGTGAATTTCGTTATCTTTTAGCCACGACAGGAACAGCTACAGTAAAGGCACAAGTTACAAAACCAAAAATACAAATCACTTCTGGACAAACAATGCCTGCTGTCAAAATGGAAGTGGAGGACTCAATGAAACGGAAACGAGAAGACGACGATTATGACGTACCATAATAATAAACAATAAATACTGAATAAACTTTCTATTTTACCTTTACATTATACAAGATCGTATCAGACAGACTATCATTATGACGATTTTTATTTTGTGTCTGACAATAATATTTAATAATTTGAACCATCCCATAACCGATGCTAAAATTTTGAATGAAATCTGTATATGTTGATTAGGGAAATTGATACAAGTATCCCCCGTATATCGAGAGAATAATTTCATCTATCTGGTTAAACAAGAAATTATTTTCGTTACTTTTTTCTAGATCATCTGCGTAATCATCGAAAAGTTCTTAAAACTTAGTTCTCATTATAAACTAGTAATCTCTGTTTCATCTCATCGATATTCATTTTTCAAAACGTGTTTTATTTATAAACTATTTTCAACTGCATAAAAATAAACATTTTATTTATTAGTATTTACACTACGTCAACATTACACAACTCATTGCTGAATTTCTTCCTCTTCGTCATCAGCTGCTGCTTCTTCCGCGTCGGTTTCCTCTTCCGTCGCGTCCCCTGGATGCATCGGGGGCGCAACACCTGCAGATTCTTCAGCTTCATCTTCCGCGCCACCTTCATCTTCGCCCTCGTAATCTGTTGCTTCAGCGGGCTCAACATCCTCCTCTTCATCTTCTTCCTCCCTAGCCTCCATTTTCTCTGCTTCTGAAAGAGTAGCTTCCTCCTCGATCGGTTCTTCGTCTATCAATCCTTCCCCTTCTTCTTCTTCTTCTTCCTCCTCGTCATCATCTGGTCCTTCAACCCCTTCGAATGGTGGCGGTTCGGCATCTTCAATTTTTTCTGTTTCCTTTGCTTCTTTTTTATCAACGGGTTCTCTGACACACTTTTTACGATGCATCGGCAAGAAGAGCTTGAAATCCTCTGGAAGCTCGTCTTCCTGATAAAGTCTGTTGAACAATGCACATGTTTCGATGAAATTTTTAAGTGTTATGAAATGTTAAAAAATAAATGTTAATAAAACACCTTCAATTCAGTAATAATGATTTTATTACTTTCCTTCCCTGAAACACTCGTTTTTGATCTTTGAATGGAACAGTGAATTGAAATATAATTTATATTATACATAGCTCATTATAATATTGTAATTTAAACTATGTAACTTAATGACGGATTATACGAAATATTTTAAAGAATATATTAATATTCCTCCAAAAAGAAATCGCTGTTGTTATGTTCATGACATGTACAACAAAAAAGAAATTTTTAAATGGGCATTATGTATTTTTGCACGATTTTGGTATATTTTAATTAAAAAACTGAATCATGCATTTATACTGGATATAATCGGGCAAAAGGCAATAGAGTAAAAGTTTTACTAATGTTTAATTTCCTTTTTACCCAACAAGACCATCATCGAAAGAAGTAGTTTTTATTTAATTCTTGCGTTTGTAAATTATTGCATAAAAATTCGAATTTGGATAGATAACTCCAGTTAATAGTAATTAAACGTTTAATCACTTTAAAGCGAACTTCACAATAATAAAAAAGAAGTCTGCCATTTTCTGTTAATAGTTATTCAGTAAGTATTCAGGTAATGAAACTATTATATCGTTATGAATTCGTTAAGTATACCACGTAAATACTTGCAAGACGGTGAATATTATCGTTATAAATGGATAAGTGTTTCTCACCTGTCCGCGAAATAAACACGCCGAATCCGGCAGTTCGCATGAATCTGTATTCGCGTGGTCTCGATGTAATTGGTGCCGTACGCTCTTCGTGTGAAATCTGCCAGATTAAATTGAATTTGATTCCACCCACCGGACAGCCCGATCGGCATCGAAGTGCCGAACGGCCTAACGCGAGTTGTGCTTTGAAAATTGCTCATTCGGAACCTCCTGTGCATATTCTTATCGTCAAGAATCTACAGAAATTAATAAATAATAAGTACACCTGTCTCGAAGCAATTTCGAATAAAATTGTCTCATTGGAATGAAGTGTATCTCTGGTGTAATTATACACTTGACAAAAAGTAAAAAAAAAAGGTCGTTCATTTGGTGAAGTGTCTTTGTCTTATTTATCAATGGACAAATCAGTATTTTACTGTCATCAAGTCAAGATGGGAACAATGACAGTGATTTATTCACGAAAAATTTACTGTTATCTCGAACGTGAAGTACTTCTTCATGTTCTTGACGATCATGATCAAAAAGGGTAGCCTAATTCCGAGAACTTTCTTCGGGTCCCGGGGACAGAATATATATGTCGTCGTCACGTTGGTCCCCGCTATCTCCAGAGCCAGCGACTTCACCTCCTCATCTGTCACTCTTCGTATGTAACCATTCTTCACCTGCTCAAAATTATATGCTTCTTTTATCTCTTATTCACTCCATTTTACGTATTACATTCTGCGTGGGTCGCTATTCATATTCCCAGAATCGATTTAATTTGTTCGTAGTATATTTTATTCAACGATAACTTGGAATAATAACAATTAATAAATATTCAATGATACATTTTTTAATACCATATTTAAAGGCCAAGAATGATTCCTCAAAATGAAAAATTGATTATCTCTATCTCTCATTTTTCAATTGATTGTCTTTTCAGTATATAGTTTTCTTTTTAATCCTTTGCAAAATTAATGTTGAAATCGCTTTATGATCTCCAGTTTTGTTAAAATACACTTCGTCTGTCACCCTTGTGTTAATGTTTAATACATTCCAGCAGAAAAGTTTATGTACGTACGTTTGTAGAGCAATATATTTTCCAATTTTCCAGGAATTGCGACAGATTGAAGAAATAAAAAAAAATAAATTCTATAAAAATAATAGATTAGAATATCAGTCTTTCCGCCATTTTGTTATTCGCACAACGTATTCCACACTTGCTACGACTTCAAAATATCTACGTTCACCTTCAATTATAATAATATTCTTTAAAAAATAAAAAATTAATTCTATGTAATATCCTTTACAACTACAGTTCTTTTAAACAGTAACACTTTTAATAACCGATATGCATTAAACACAGACACAATAAATATTACATAATGATAAAAATATACGACACCAATGTTTAAAATATTCCAATCGACTGTTCGGAAATGTCCTTAAAATTAAATCGAACATTCTGCAAACATGTACAGCCATTAAAATGATTAATAGCACAGATAAATCAATCAATAAGGCAGACGCAACAATTTCCTTCCCAGAATGTTCACATAAAAAAAAACTTACGTGCATGTCCCACAATTCCAACGGTGTCGAGCCACAGCTGTATAGAACGGACAGAAGTCCTTGCTGATACTTCTTACGAAACATCTCTCGTTCGTTTCTTCTCGTCGAAAGCGTGACAGGGATCAAAGCATCCTATATCATCTTCACTATACCATGAATATGACGAAAGAACGAAATAACCATTTACGGTGTACGAAAACGAAACAATTCCGTTGTTTTCGCCTATCGAACCGAATTTGTTTTCCCCATTTTTGATCTCGCGCGAAACTTCCGCGGTGTTTGGACGAGGGTTACCAGGCCCCGAAGAGAAAAAAATAACTCGGTCGAACTTTATTCAACGTAGAAATGCACGTTTATTCACTCGCGCATCGAGATACAGATCAATCGTTTTCCACAGGGGTGGTCGACGTGAATTTGATTCATCGTGTCTGAAGTAGCTTGTTCAGGCGACGTCTCTCGTTCGCGGTTAGGGAATCGGGGACAATCAATGTCCCCGGTGGCATCCCGACGCTGAAGACACGGTCGATTCTTACGCTATCGATGGCGAACACCTGCATCATCGCGAAATGCATAACTTCGCGACTCAGCTGACGTCTGATCTGTTTCTTGGTTCTTTGCACGCGACGCCGGCAGATCACGTAACTTTTAACAAAATTCAGTGTTTTAACAACCATTGATTGGAAAACTCTTTCGACAGGTTCTTGTTAATCTATACTAAAAGTGACTCGTCGTGATTGACGGCACACGAGTGTTTTTGGAAGCGTTTCACGATGGAATTTCATGGAACGAATATGTTTCGTGCCAGCTAGGTGCTACAATCTGGCTGTCCTTCAAACGAGGAAAATGATTTCAAGAATGTATAGTGTGGACCATGGGAAGTCGATGATTGTCAAATGAAAATTAACAATGTAAAATAGAACGTAAATATTTATTTCTTGTTATATGACTGGACTGCGCATTTTTATGGAAAATTACATTTTTTAAAGTGATTCATAAAGGCAAGGGCAAATATAGGAATTTCTTTCTTGAGTATTTTATTTGGGTTCAGAATAAAATCGAGAATTCGTTTGATCTGATTGAAGGTTTGTCTTTTACTCTATTTCACAGAGTTCATGAATAATATAGGCTATAAATGCATAAAATTTTCAGTCTATATGTAACAATAGCAAATTGAAACGCCATTTTAGTATATTACATCATCTGACACACGTTTTAAACCCTCATCAGTCCCTTAGTCCCTTGTGTCAGTTTGACATATTTTCCTTCTAAGAAATGTTGAAGAATATTATTCTGTCATATGTAAATAAATTTAGCTGAGGTTCCGTGACATTTATTTTTAACAATTTGCAAATTTAACTATTTATCTCTTCATTACATTAATTTTTTACCATTGTGTCAATTTGACACCGAGGGATAAATTAAGTTACGAGGGTTAAGCGGACTGCTTCAGTATGTCACGCAGGTTTCGCATCGCTCTTTGCACCACGTTATAGAATCGATTTCAAGCAATTTTTTAATTGTCGAATTTTTAAATCGAGTAAAAAGAGAAAAATTTGTAAAATTTGTAAGTGGAATTTTACAGTCATACCAGACAACGTGGTGCAAAAAGCGATGCGAAACCTGTTGACAGGCTGGGGCAGTGCAGAATATATGTAAATGACAGAGGATATTTGACAGATGTGCTGTTTAAAAAATGACTCAGGTGATGTAATATACTCAAATAATGTTCCATTCGATATTGTTGTAGAACCTGAAATAAATATTTACGTCATATTTCATATTGCTTATCAGATTCCGTTATTAAATATATAACGGATACAAAAAGTATTTGTATTCTCGTTTCTAGTATAATACATAGTGTATATGCTGAGAAAGATACAAAAATTATGACGAATTAAATTTATTCAAATACTTTAATTCAATCCGCGGCAATTTTAAGTTATTTATAAGGTAATCTAAAAATCGAGAAACTTATATTGAAAAAGTAAAGGTGTGCAAATACTTTTTGTAATCAATGTATATAAATAGGATCTTGATGAAAAAGCTGAAAATATTTACGGTAGAACGCCATTTATATGAACACATCAAAGTGGATATCTGTTCATGTATTAGGTGGGCCAATAAGTAATTCACTATGGTTCCAATATGGTAACAGTAAATTTTAGATTTAGGATGTCTTTTCAACCTTATATTTAGTCAAAATGGCGAAGGGTGATGGGAACAAACAAGGAATATTGTTAACATATGCTAGATATTTGAATTATTTCGGAACGAATTGTACGGAGTTTTTAAGAAAAAAATAGTGGATTATTAGTACACCAAATTATTTACCAATTTCTCACACTACCTCCAATTCTTCGATCAAATAACCTGAGTTTACATTCGAATAACTAAATCTAAACAAATTTGTCCATTTTTCTGTTTGTTTAAAACTGGCGTTCGTATAACGACGTTCGACGGTAGTTCAGGTGACAAAATTCGGAAAACATTTTGTGTGCGATGTCTGATAAAATTTTGTTACGATAAAATTGAGATGAAAATATAAATCTACTTGTGTCTTACAAGTGATATGATTCTTACTAAGGAAAGTTTTTCAGACCCGTGTAACTGGGATGAATCGACACGTCGCTTTTGTACAATTCCGGGTAGAGTTTCATGTGTTTCGTAAGATACTTCCTTGCCCATTTTTTCTTTTCAGAATCCGTTTTCGATAGGGACAGCTGGTCTTCCGGTGGTTCTTTGTCACCTTCGACGTCGCTATCTACGATATCGACGTTCGTTTCCTTTCCTTCCGGAGCGTGAACAACCATCATGACACAACTAAGGAGAGATAGAAGGCTATTGATGCCCTATGAACATTTCTACAAAAGATTTTGCACTTTTCATTGAATGAACTAAATTAACAAAATCAATATTTCCAGTTAACAAAGTCAACGATTCTTTGATTGAAGGACAAACTAAGAAAAATTGAAAAACTAATTAGAAAATTGGTATAGAAATACTTATCGAGTCATTTTATTAACTGAGAAGATCGTATTGTAAAATAATCTTTTTTTTTAAAGGAAAATTTAAATCGATATTTACTATTTAGTAAGTTAGAACATACGCACGAAAGAAAGGTTAGTATTATTACAAAACTGGAAATTGTATGCACAATGTACAAGAACATACAATAAAACGAATATTATAGTGTCGCTTAATAAGTTACCATATGATTATTTCGTCTTCAATTTGAGACCTTTAATAAAGTAAATGAAGATCTGCTGAATTATTTTTATCACTATTAGTAATTAATATATAGAAAGAAGTATATCGATATACATTTTATATTTTAATATATTCTCTACATTATTTTAAAATGATTTCTATAGAGTGATAACTAAACATAACGAAGATGCAATAATATTGGAATGAAACTAAAATATACATATGATATGAAAAGAACAATGTGGGCAGTTAATATGTATATGACATTATATAGAATATATCATTCCATTATAAATATAGTATTAGCTTAGTACATAGTATCGAAAAGTTGATCGTGAAACACAATTTTATACAACATACTTTTGTATTACGTTAACAGATGATATTAATACTCTCAGAACCGCTTCTATAATATTACGTTTGTTGCCCTTCCAAAGTAAATATTTATTTACAATTTTCAATAATTCAATATCATATGGATGGATTTTATACGTTCCATTCTGTAATTGTATCTATGAAAAAATATCAATTTTCCAAAAAGCATCTTTCGATACCATTTTATAATCATCTGTACAATAAGTCGAAGAAATAAAAAAGTCCCTTTGTCTCATTTTTCCAAAATTTAGCAAAAGTCTAAGAAGAATTACGATAACATATTTTTATAATAACCACCGCTGATAACTCAACGATAAAAAAAAATAAAGTGAATACAAAACTCGAAACTTCTAAACACCTATACTAAACACCTGAAATAATGCATAAAATGCATAAAATTTACTTTTCAACACTTTGCTTATAATTCATATGTATTAAAAAATAAATATAAATAGCAAGTAATAAAAATGCGTGCCGTACCTCTTCAATTTCCTCAATTACACCAACGTTTAATTGAAATTCCTAATTTAACAGCATCGAATCCCCATAAAAATTTATTCACTCATGGCAGACGGAGTTCGATTACGAATCGAAGTCTCGATTAAAGCCCCGTGGCGGTCGCCGGTGCCGCGGTCTACGAACTGGCGAACTATTCAATGGTTGGATTCAGGCTCGCGTGAAGAAACGACCGACGAATGCGGCTCGTCTCTCCGTTGATCCGACGAAAGTTGCCCGATCTGTACCGAAGTGAGCCCCTGTGCCTCGTACGGATATCGATTTGGTTACCAGGTGAATCAATAGAGAGATTCGGTTCATTCTTATTACGACGTATTGCCTGCATACCTACAGATCCGACCGACGAACTTACCGCGCGCGCGGCCATCAATCCACTGTAATTAGCCCCGGCTAGGAGAAAATTAGTCCGTAATCGCCAGGAATTTCCGAGTTGGATAATGTGACTTTGGTACCGGAATTCAGCGAGTGATCCATGATCCGCGAGTTTTGTTTAATTCCTATGTCGACGACCGTCACGAAAGAAATTGGGTGTGTCGTACGTACGTATGGTTAATCAGTAGCCATTATGGTTTCATTATACAAGGTATGATTCGAAAGAAGAACGCGATCTAGGAAAATTTAGCATATGATATTTTTATTTATGATTGTTCTTCTGCATTTTATTGATATGAAATAGAAAGTTGTAAAGTGTAACGATATAAAAATTTTATAGGTATTTTCAAGGTTTACGGGATCTACTGGAATCAATTGCGATTTAAAAATTGCCGATATAACTCTGCTGCTTAACAATTACTGGGGTTTAATCTGTGTTTCTTCAGTTTCAAAGCTTGTATTTGGCGAATAAACAGCACTACGGGAACATTAGAACTAAAAAGAAACCAAAACGGACAACTTCTGTCGAAACGGTAGAGAATAATTTTCGAAATAATCAAAGTCAATTATGGATAACAAAATATTGTATGGTTATTGAGAATATTAAATTCATTTAAGTTTTACATCATGACAGATATTATCTGGGTAACTGTAACGTATTTCTCGTTTTCGTAGACGAAGCCAATGTCAAGTCTGATAACAATCAAACGCCGATCGAAAAATTTGCACTTTCTCAAAAACTTGTTTGGAACTTACCCATAAAACATACCTCAAATCATATAAATAAAATAATTAGTATTTAATATTTCTGGTAAATACTAAGACCAGGTTGTTGTTTAATCGTTTGTGATAAAATACAAATTGTTCACTTCTAAAACTTCATTACAATATCCACGTCTTACATGTTACTCTATATCTCAATTTCTAATAGTTATAGTTAATAACAATAGTAGTTTGCAGTTAGAAATGTTAACAACATACCTTGAAGATATAATTGTTATAAATATTACATTGCCGAAAATATTTAATTTATTGTGAAATTATTTCACGTGAATTGAGTAAACCAAAAATACTGTTCTTAAAAGTATAACAGTCATTGTCAAGGATAATATCAATCAAACGTTGATCGAAGAATTCCCGACTGTCCTACAAATGTTTATGAATTTCTCACATAAAACTCTACTAAGATACATTTAAATGAAATAATATTTAGTTACCAATCGCGATAAACATTAAGACATAGTCGTTGTTTAATAGTTTGCAATAAAGTAAAATTTATTACATGTAAAAGTTCATTAAATGATTGCTTACAACTTTTTGTATATATCGATTTGTAATTTTTATAATCAATAACAATTTACATTATAAGACAGCTAGGAGAATGTTTAACAATATCCCTTACAATTAGTGAGGTAATTGTTATAGCAATTACTTTGTTAGAAATAATAAAATAATCGAGAAGTCATTTTTGGCGCGCTTGATTTTCGCACACACTGTCTGCGCAGCTCGCGACCTCTCAGACTTCACGAGCCTATGAATACGGGCGCGCAACGGAAAATCCTCAGTTCGCTCGCGTTCACAGTCCACGGACCTCTGCGGGGCTCTCAGTCGTCTTACTCTCCGATCGCTGACCTTTGATGGCCAGTGGTTAGAGGGTTTGAAGGGGTCCTTTCTCTTATCCGAACTATCAATGGGCTCGCATCTCTTCTTTATTATCATCACTTGTGGTGGACATTGGTCAGAGGGTTTCAAGGGGTCGTCTCTATTATCCGAACTCGACTAACAGGTTCGAATCTCTTTTTCTTACCATCACTCACCACTGATCATTGGTGGTTATTGACAAAAGGGTTTTACGTGGTCTTCTCTCTTATCCGAACTCGACTAATACGGTCGCACCTCCTCTTTATTTATTTTAATTAATCGCATGTTATTTATTTTTTTTAAATTAATTGTGTTTTATTTTCATTTATTTTAATAATTGTGTTTTTTTTTGTAATTAACTGTGTTTTATTTTCATTTATTTTAATTCAATTTAATTTTTTTATTAGACACTTCATAACAAGGTTCATCGTCATCGAACGAAGACATCGCTTCCACTGTTGGACTTTTCATTTAATGCGGTTAGTTTAAGTTCATTATAATCATTATTTCTACAATTGATTAATCATTGTTTAATTATATTAGTTATAACATATTGTAAGTTACGTCAATCGTAAGACTAGTGTAAGTTCAAGAAAGAAGACGTCGATAGTCCGCCGTGGAATGCTCATTTTATTTTGATTTAAATTCAAGAAAGAAGATATCCGCCGGAGGAAATCAATATTAAAGCGTCTAAATTTAAGTTACTTGTAAGTTCATTGTAAGTCTTTGTAAAAAGGGAGGTAGGTGAAACTAATGATTCCATCTATGTAACTGCGGTCACATAGATGGGATCGGGTCCTATTCCATCTAGCTTTCTTTGGGTCTCCACTCACAGTGACTTCCTCATCATGAGACTCGGGCAATCGGTATCATCCACGGTAAAGTATTGTAAACCTAATGGCTGCGAACTCAGAATGAATTTTTCTAGTTATGCGAATGAATGTAAGGTCTAATATTTTTGGTGCATGTACTATCTTGCATGAAACTTGAATAGTTTAAGGCTCAATGTAAGACAGAAAACCTTTGTTATTGATAAAATTACGTGAAACTGAATAATAACGTGCAAAAAGTCACATATATGTATATTCAACTATTTTAATAAATTCATATCCTACAATTAAAATAAAGTTGAACGTAATATATACATATACTGTAAAAGTTTGACTAGCTATGCTCTAGTGGGTTCGAAGTTCATTATTTCATAACGTGCAATAAACAAAATTATTGTAAGTAAATAATGTGTAAAGCTTCACCAATTGGCAGAAGGTAATTAATTGTGCGTATTAAGATTCTTATATCACATTATTAGATAAAGAGATATAAAAACGAATAAAAAAGGAACGTATAGAAATTAATATTACTATAGTCACTATTAATGATATTATTGATTTAGAATAAGTTATGTTATAGATAATTGAAAAAAAAACTTTGGCGTGTCATATTTCATTAGTATCATATTCATCCATTAAACCGTAGCATCGGAGATTTTGATTCCCGCCAAATCATAGTAGATACACGCAGCATGGGCGGAGCCAGGGCAGTTGCCTCCCTCCCCGACCCCCTGGACGGAAAAAGTGGCTTTTGCCCTAACCTACAAGAAAAAAATTGGATTTTGTCCCCCCCTGCCCGGCCTTCACAGTTACAAAATTTTTGTATAACATTTAATATTGCAGTATAATTTGAAACACGACCAACAGCC